CTACCTTATGCCATCCAATTTTTATATTCTACCTTTCTGTTTTTCTAAATGGCATAGTAGTACCACACTTTACCTATATGATCATAGCTGGAAATTTTCAAGTCATCCTTCCCTCTAATAATTCTTTCCCTTACCTTAGAAAGGTTAGATAAGTTGGTTGTAGCAAGTGTGAGTGTAAAGGTATTTTACTTTCCCGTCCTTTATTAGCAACTAATGAGTGGGATCTGAGTTTTCATAGTTGAATTGCCTTACCTCAGAGCCTTTGCCTTTTCTGCTACCAAAGGGCAAAAAGGCAAATGAACATGACAGATATTTGAGAAAAGAGAAAAAAGAAAGGGGAAAAGGAGAAACATAATAAGTGAAACAGATGCACAGCAAGGCTAAATCTAAAAGTAGCATGACCCATCCACCAGTCTCTAAAACGATCTACCCTTTATTGAGAACCACTAATCTGAATTGCACCTTGTTGATGTCCCCTTCCCTACTCTCCATCCTAGCCCTGCTTTCGCTAGTTATGCTTCAGGGGAAGTCATTTGGCTGTATTGAAACATAAAAGTACAAAACTTACAACTAATTTTACATAGCAAGTTTTGTCAAGGACATAATTCATTGCATTTCTGTCCTCTCTGAGAATCCACAAGAGAAATTTCTTTCTGATATCAGTGTGAGAGAGTTATACTTCTATTGAGCAATAAGTTCATTTTTGCCTTTCAGGCATGAATGTTTGTACTTTGTCACATTTTCCTCTTCATGTGTATTGTTCAGACTTCACAGGCTTCTGAGTTCCACAACAAAGAAGGGTGTACAATTAAATGACATCTTTTCTTAGAATACGTTTTATTGACTCCTTATTTGTGGTTCATTTCATATTAGGTGTAGTATATTTTACATGTAAAGGCATATATAGATGCATACATGTTTTAAGCTGCCATAAGTCCTTTCTAAAATGAGAAAATGTTTCTCTTGCCTGTGCCACACTGCCCAACTCATGTCTGATTTCAGAACTAGTCTTGATGGACAGCTCCTGGCACCAGTGTATGCTTTACTCTTAATGACTTGGGAGTTTGCCAAGCTGATGGAATTTGAAACTGCATGGCAGTGCCTTTGGGGTACAACTAAGCAGCTAGAGGAGAAAACTGGAGAAGAAAGTCTCTAGCATCATCTTTCCTTCCACTGAATGATTTTGCTGCAGTCTCATGTTCAGACTTAACCTTTCTTTCTTGGTAGTTCCTCCTGTATTCTGTTAAACATTTGTTTATTTATTTGTATCACTTTGGGATAATTTCTTGATTTGGGCTGAAGCAAAAATAATGTGAGGAGAATTCATTCAAACAATCTCCTATTGCAGGGACCATAGACTCAGCTGTCTCCAGAACAGGCTGGTCCTAAGGAAAAGATTAGTTAAGCAGGAAAGGGAGAGGGAATTAAAAGAAGCTATCTAAAGGATGCACTGAGTTATGATAAGCAGGAGGGAGTTCAGGTCAAGTGCTGTTGGCTTTGATTTTTTCCAAGAAAAATTGGTAACCTCTGTGAAAAGTTCTAACTTACTTCTCAAAATGTGTAAAACAACTTGTGGGCTAAAAATCTATTTTTGTAGACAGAATCTTGCTCAGATCTTGCCATTGTTGGCTTTTGGGGCATTTCTGTGCCAGAGACTTGATTGTGGGCACCATCAGGATGGGTAAGACACCATCCCTATTCTGAAGGAGTGCAGAGTGGAGCAGGGAAAAATAGAAGACCCAACTCCATCACAGAATAAATTAAAGCATGTTGTAAAGAGTGAGTCCAAGAAATACTGTACGTGCTCTAACAGGAAGATCTCCTCATGGAGACATTTTACATTATATTAACATGAAATATTGATTTAACCTAAAATAAATAATTGAACTTCAAAACATCCAGGGGAGATTATTTATTCTGCACTCATGGGGTCCATGGTATGTGACTGGCTTAAAGGTAAGACCATTTTAATGAAGAGTCTTTGGCACTTCACTAAGTAAGACTCTTTGAGGAAAAGAATTTTATTTTAGTGGTTTCTACTTTGGAATGTTACAGTGAACTTCCTGTGCTAATAGTGAAATGGAATTTTAAAATACCATTTTCTTAGGCAAATCACTAATTCAGAAAGTAATCCCATAAGATGTGTCTATATGCTTGGTGTCCCAAACATGCCAGAAACTCCTAGATATGGAACTTGGTAGTTAGTGGCAAATCCAGTTCTGAAAAGGCCTATGTCAGGGATTCAGGCAGAGCCCACTGAGGTATTGTCGTGATAGGGAGGGCTAATCTAGCTGGGCCAAATGGAAGGAAATAAACCACAGTTAGGGTCTCATGATTATTGTAGGCATTATCTCCCCAGGTTCTAGTCCTATACCTTTGAAGGCTCTTCATATGCTCAATACATAGAGTGTACTTTTCCTCCATCAAGCTACAATATGTTGGAACAGAATCAAGGTTTTCATGTTCAAGTGCTTATCAGGTGGCTGACATGAAGGGACATATTTAATGTAACTTGAATGAATCAGTCAATCACAAAAAATAAGAATCTACATAGGACTACAGCATGGAGAAGATTCATGAAAAGGTAGCTGCAACAGCAGGTAGACAGAGTAAGGTAACAGGCAGTTTGGGAGCTGGCAACTTGTAATGACCCAGATCTGTGGACAGGAGGGTGAAGTGGAAGGCTGGTTCCTACATGGGGCTGCCAGGTAGGATTATGGAGGAAAGAAGGTGGATAGGAGGAGACATAATGAGGACTCAATTAGTGGGATGGAGGAACAGAGCACAGCTTCCAGGCAACAAGAGAGGAAAGGAAAAATATCCTGTTGTAGAAGAGATTCAAGTTCTAATCTTGATTCTTTTCCTAGCTGTGTGATTGGACAGTTGACATGATTTTTCTTCACCTTATATTAATATCTGTTAAACATGGTTAATTGCTATGAAGATAAAAAGAGATACTGTACAAGAAGCACTTAGCACAGTGTTGGACAGAAAAGTAATAATGAAAACATGGAGTTTGACACAGTAGGATGCTGGTGCTAAACTTTTCTGAAGGCATCAATTGGATAAATTGTGTTTTTGTTGACATCTGTAAGATTATTTTTCTTTTCTTCATTAGTTTATGTTTGCAGTACATACATTTTAAAATCTTCTTGGGGTGGGTATGTGTACATAATATCCCTTGGTACCTTTTAAAATCCCTTTTTTCTTTCCTCCCCTTCCAGTTCCTTTTTCTCCATTTTGATTGTATTGATATTATTAATCTTAGCTCATGATTATGGTTTATAATTTTATATCCATTGAGGTTATTAGTTTGTGTACATGGCATGTCTTTATTCTACTTATTTCCCTTTCCTTTCTTGATGTCCATCTCTTGGACCCCTTCCCAATTGCAAGAGATCCATCTCCCTATCTCCCTTTAGTCATCCTGTGTTGAGCTCTTTGTTTATAATTTGCCTTACTCAAATGAGATATATCTTATGGTATTTAAGCTGGTGTCTCTGTTTTATTTCATTCAACATTATGTTTTCCAGGTGCATCCATTTTCCTAGAAATGTCTCAAAGTTGTTTTTCTTTATAACCAAGCAATATTCCATTATATATAGATACTGTGTTTTCTTTATCTAATCATCTGATGACAAGTATACAGGCTGCTTCCAGAATTTAGCTATTATGGCTTGGACTGCTATAAATGTTGGCATGCATGTATCACTGTAGTATGATGCCTTAAGTTCTTTTGGGAAGATACCTAGGAAGCAGATAGCCAAATCATATGGAATTTATAATTTCAGTTCTTTGACAAAATTCTGTACTGATTTCCATAATGGTTTCAGTAGCTTACATTCTTACTAACAATGTAAGAATGTTCTTTTATCATCACATCTCCCTTGAATTTGTCATTATAAAAAAATTCTTGATGAGTACCACTCTTTCTGGAGTAAAGGGGAATCTTGTTTTTAAAACTCATTTTAATGAGAAAATAAAATAGCACTGGAACAGTTTCAAAACAGTTTAGTAGAACAGTTGCAATAATTGATATATTGCATATTGTTGTCTTTGTAGTGGTTATTCAGAGGACAAAATGCAGATATAATATCTTGTCTAAACAATATTAGTACAAACCATTCTTCTCATTGAACTAAGAGAAAGTAGCTATATATCTATCCTAAAGATTATATATATATATCTGATATCTGTGAACTAGGCAACTACAATGAGGATAGCAATGTGTAATACTAAAACCATGCCTGAAATACCTATCATTTTGGTCTTCTAAATACATACTGCTTCTAATGTCATATCAATTATTGCTATAGTCTCTTTAAAGCAAATGTTTGTTAAAAAAGATAATAAAAGAAAACAAGAGACAAGAAAGAAAGTCATAGGATTGTTCTGTTACAATGTTGTATATGGTTTGATATCCAAGGTAGAATCTTAATGTTGTTTTAATTTACATTTCTCTACTTGCCAAATGATGCTGAGCATGCTGAGCTGGGAGCAGGAACTTGGGAGTCCATTTTGGGCAATTTACAAACTATGAACGTCCTCAGTTCCATCCCAAAAAAGGGTTTTCAAGGAAGGGAGTATATATTTGATTTTAAACCCTTTCTAAAAAATACTGTGATCTCCATTACCAAGATGTCCCTCATGCAGTTGCATTTTCATTTCTTTAAACCATTCACACAAAGTCAATGTAGTCTCAGTGCCCGTTTTGCGGGGTGGTCATCTATAGGTAATTCCATATTGTGATGACCAAAAGATATTAGGCAGGTAGGAATATGTGTTCATAGGGACCATAATACTGTAATGGAACCACTGACAAGTTTGAAAGTACACATTACCCCAATGTTTTAATATGAAATTTTAACGTACTTTATACCAATAGTAAAAAATTATACTTAAAAAAATAAAGGACAGGGGTCACCAAAACCAGAATACCAAGGATGTGCAACAGGCCCCACAGAAGTCACAGTGGAGCGCTGGGGGCAGAGAACCCAGCTAGACAGCACACTCGCATTTATTCCTTTAAGTTTAAAGTATGAAAGAAGCAAAAACTGAAATCTTTTATTCTTAGATCTGGTACAAGACAAGCATGTCCTCTATCACCACTCCTATTCAATATAGTTCTGGAATTATTAGCGAGAGCCATTAGACAAGAGAAAGAAATAAAAGGAATAAGAATAGGCAAAGAAGAAGTTAAATTATTATTATTTGCAGATGACATGACACTTTAAGTGGAAGTTCCAAAAAACTCCACCAAGAAGCTACTAGAATTAATACAGAAATTCAGCAGCATAGCAGGTTATAAAGTCAGTACCCAAAAGTCAATAGCATTCCTCTACACAGAGGACAAACACACTGAGAGGTAAATTATAGAAACAATACCTTTTACAATAGCACTGAAGAAATTGAAATACCTTGGAATTAATCTAATTAAAGAAGTCAAAGGTCTTTTCAAGGAAAATTACAGTGCTCTTAAAAGAGAGATTGTAGAGGATTTCAGAAAATGGAAAGATATTCCATGCTCCTGGATAGGAAAACCAACATTGTGAAGATGGCCATACTCCCAAAATTGCGGTACAGATTTAATGCAATCCCTATCAGATTACCACCAACATACCTCACAGAGGTAGAGAAAGCATTCCTAAAATTTATTTCAAACCAGAAAAGACCTAGAATAGCAAAGACAATCCTGGGCAATAAAGACAAGGCAGGAAGCATTACAATTCCTGACTTGAAATTATACTAAAAGGCTACTGTGATAAAATCAGCATGGTACTGGCAACAAAATAGGTCTAGGGATCAATGGAATAGATGAGGAGACACTGAAGCCCCTACGAACACACTCAGCCACCTTATCTTTGACAAAAGGGCCAAATATACTCACTGGAAGAAAAATAGCCTCTTTAAAAAATGGTGCTGGAAAAACTGACTCTCTACATGTCAAAACTAAAACTTGACCCAGGTAAATCACCATGCACTAAGCTAAAGTCAAAATGGATCAAAGATTTAAACAATAAAGTAGAGACACTAAATCTCCTGGAAGAGAAAATAGAAGGAACTCTTGAAGACATAGGGGTAGGCAAAGAGTTCATGAGCAAAAATCAAATTGCATGGGAAACAGGTGAAAGAATTAATAACTGGGACTTACTCTTACTGAGAAGTTTTATTCAGGTCAAAAGAAATTACCAAGAAAGTGAAAATACAACCCACAAATATGAAAAAAAAATCATGACAAATAAGTACTCAGACAAAGCTCTGCTTTCTAGAATTTATAAAGAGCTAAAAAAACACTAGGGCCCCAAAATTTAAAGATCCAGTCCAGAAATGGGCATCTGAGATGAACACACACTTCTCAGAGGATGAAATTAAAAAAGCGAATAAATATATGAAAAAATGCTCCACATCACTAGCCATCTGTGAAATGCAAATTAAAACAACATTGAGATGTCATATCACCCCAGAAAAAATGACTATCATAAAGAAATCACCCAACAACAAATGTTGGAGAGGCTGGGGGGAAAGAGGAACTCTTCTCCACTGCTGGTGGGAATGTAAACTGGTGCAACCATTATGGAAATCAGTGTGTAGACTCCTTAGAAAAGTTGGTCAGGAAATCCCATTTAAACCAGCTATTCCTCTACTGGGAATTTTCCCAGAGGAACTGAAAACATCGTATGATAGTGATATATGTGTAGCTATGTTTATAGCAACACAATTTGTGATATCTAAATCTTGGAAACAACCAAGATGCCCATAACCTTAAGAATGGTTGAAAAAGATGTGGTATTTTTACATGATGAATTATTACTCAACTACAAAGAATGATAAACTCGAAGCCTTTGTATTGAAGTGGATGCCACTTGAAGATATACCTATAAGTGAAATAAACCAGACACACGTGTAAATATCATAGAGTTTCCCTAGTATAAGAACTCAAAAGAAGAAATACAAATAGAAAGGTATAATACAAGTAAAAGAAAAGCAGGAACTCGAGGTCTAACTACTTAAGCGAGGGAAAGGAGAAGAGCTAGGAAAGATGACAGTGATAAGCCATACAGTCACATGTAGAAGATGGGCAAGGCAATGATCCTGAGAATCTCCAGAAGATTTTTGAATCTAGCAGTTAAATGGAAAGATTCTCACCCTAATTTACTATATATACTGATACCTGTGAACTAAGCAACTGCACTGAAAATGGTAATCTGTAATAGTAGTTTCATGCTTGGAGTGCCTGTCATTCTGGTCTTCTGGGCTGCTTGTCATGACATGCCAGTTGCTGCTGTGCTGTCTCTCAGGTATGATTGCTCAAAAAGAAGGGGGTGGTGAATGAAGGCAAGAGACAGGAAAAGGAATGTTGTGTGACTGTCTTGCTTCAAGACTGTTTATGGTTAGATTTCTGGATTTATGTGTAAACATATAAATTATATAATTCCTTATGTCTATTTTAAAAAATATATTCTAAGTTTTAAA